TTCTGCTTGGTCAAATGCAGCATCCAAAAAATGCTAAATATTTTCTATCCTATTTTAGGAAGGTAATCCAAATAATAGCGCTTACTTTGTAGCAGCTATCTGTTTTTGAGTAGTAGGTCCATTCCGAGGGGCAGTGAGAAGGAATAGCTGAACTGTCCTTTAGAAAAAATACACCATAGAAAGGGAAAGATGTAAACTTTTTAGCAGACTCAGTGTGCGTTTGAGGATAGGGGTCGCATTTTTGCATGTAGTTTATGGATTATAAATTGCGCAAAAAATGACTTTCCCATAGAACATGAACAAATAATTCCCAACTTTACACTCATAGCGCCATGAAAGTTTCTGTAGCATTCCAAAAACGTATCGGAAGATTTTCTTGGAGGGCTGCTTCTCTCCTCCCACAAGAAATTTTTCCGAACACTCTTGGTTTCAGTGTATTTCTTAATCAAATCTTACTTCGACTAAGATTTAATTGGTTCTAATGAGCAATAAAGCCCATTTGAACTTGACGGTATATTTTTTACGATTAATGCTTATGTTATTACTATTCGTTAATTTTGTAACATCTTACGAGGTGCGGTAGGACAAGGTGGTGGAGTTGATGGTGGAGGGCAGGTGGACACAGGTGGATCGGTGGAAGCTTGCGCGCAAACGTATGGGTATGCAGTCGAGCAGGATACCGTAATCCAACTACCGTCTGTCGAATTTTCAGCTGCGCATTGTGCATCCACTTTGGGCTCTCCTAAAAACATAGGGTACTCACAAAAGTTCATGGTAAATGTGCCCCGTGCCATGCTGCTTACCCGGAGCCCATCGAGTGTAGTTTACAGAGTTTCCGTCTGTCCATGACCACTGGTCCCTCATGAGACGATTCAATCCCGTATAAAACGGTCCTTTGATGCCTTGTTGCATTGCATACTCTAAAGCCAGAGGAAGAAATGTGGTAAATCAGTCTATAAGATGAGCTACTTACGAGAAAGCCAGGTATTTCCAGATGAGCTATAGATAGAGACTAAATGACTGTTCGTCTCTTGGCAGCTTTCTTCAGACATGTAAAATGCTTGCTTGGCGGTGACGAATTTGTAGCATCTACCAAAGAAATTTTTGTTTAGGACATCATCATTCTCCTTCCATTTTCTGTATTTACCGTTTAATGTTTTTCTAATCCATTCTGTAAACTAGGCCTTCGTAATCGTACGACAAATAACCTAGTATAACCTAGTAACCTAGTAACATTTTCAATCAGCGGACAGAGTTCCCCAGATTTTTTGAAAATCTTTCGTTAAACTTTAACTTCAGAAAGCGGCAAACCAGATTTCAAATTTGTTTTGTCTGCAAAAACCATCACGCTTTTTGTTACCTAGAGCCACAATACGGACACCGTCATAATCAGCAATGCATTTCCGTTACCGAGATT